GGCGCGCGCGTTGAGCATTCAAATCGCATTTAAACTGGAGCGGAAGGAGTTACCATGGAAACGGGGCGTCAACTCACTCAGCTGACAAGTAGCGAGAGTCCGTCTCTCTGCGGTTTTCACTGCTTTCAGGTAAGTTTAGTCCCTAAAATTACACAAATAATACATACAACCGTTCCTGACACTTTCTTACATGTAATTGACACGTTTCTGTTGAATCTTTACTTTACAGGAATGGTTTAGTGTCTTCAAAAAGACCGTTAGCATCACAACCGTTAACTAGCTATAGAGGCTGACTATTAGAGGTAAGCTAACTATAGATTTGAGATCTTATTAATGAAAGTTTGAGCTTTTAATCACATTTTATGTGTAGATGAGCGATTTTGATAGTTTGTAAATGTTTTGCTGGTACTTTGTCAATAGATAAATGGAAGTAACTATAAGCTATTAAGTTAACTTAAAAGTCTGCACTGTGTGGTCAATCGGTGACGTCACTTACATTAACTAATGGGCTGAAACTATTTCAAACACGTTTTGAACTTTCATTGCAAACAAATATTGATAAATTGTACTGTGATTTCAGGAGCATCAGAAAACCATAAAACGGGAAGTTACAAGAAAATGTGTAATGGGAGCTGCTGACAGAGATACAGGAAACACAGGTGATCTGAGAAATCGTATTAAGTAACTTTATGCATTTTTCACAATATATTTCAACTATATCATGCATCTGTAAAACCTAAAAATGTGAATTCTGGTATCTTAAGATTTTTTTGTATGTTTCTTTTTTTTGTTTGTATGTTATTATTTCTCTTTTCTGCATTTCACCTCTGCTGTAGTTTGTTTATTTCTAATAAACCTGACATATATGTATAATACATATTGTTGGCTATGGGACATATTGTTCCTATATTCCATGCTGATGGCCGTGCTGCAGAGCTGGAGCAGATCTCCTGACAAAGAACATCTCCAAGGCACTATGAACCATCTGACTAGTAAGTAAAACCTCAAACATTCAAAAGTTTATCAAATATTCAAAAAAAATATATCAAATAAATATCAAATATTTCCTGTATGTCCTACAAGGCCATATTGTTTAACTCAGCACTGAGGACACTTCATACACAACAACCTACAGAGGGGTCCTCTGCACTGAGGACACTTCATACACAAAAACATACAGAGGGGTCCATCGTATGTCTTGAGGGGTCTGTATGTATATTTAGTGCTGGGCGGTATGACCAAAAATTTATATCACGGTATTTTTCAAAATTAGACCGGTTTCACGGTACATGATGGTATTTTTTTTTTCATGCATGGCCGGGTGTTAACCATATTTTCTACTGATTGAGAGAGGAAATACTGCAGTATATTGACTTAGAATGCCCTATTTTACTGTCATGATGAGTGAATATTGTCAAAAAATACCACACTAAATAGTGACTAAACACGACCCCTTTTAATACATGTTAACCAGGAGTCAGTCTCATTTATAATCGCGGCATCGTCTGATAAAATCAACATGCATCTACACTAAAGAGCGGCTTAGAGAAAGTACCTTATTTAAGAATTTTGTGTTAATTGCGTAAACAATAAAAAATATATATACTGTATATATTTTTACTGTTTTTTTGTTTTGTTTTCCAAAGCACCTAAAAGCCAATTCACACTGCCATACTCCAACAGGGTGAACACACTGACCAAGCAAAACAAATAAGCATGTTAGATGTGAGATTCATTCAACTTGGTTTGCTGATTAAACATGATTAAATATTTGTTCAGAATACTGTTGTTGTTGTGACTATTCATCTGGGAGGGGTGTGTATCAAGT